CACTAAGGCTTAGAATCACTCAGGACACCTTAGCAACCACATAGAAACACCCTGGCAACCACCCTAGAATTGTGGCGTCAAGTGTTACACGGGTCCCTTCTCTAATCTCACTAAATGTTGTTTATCACTCCGTTTTCATTAAGATTTATAAACTGCTGTGTTTTATAAGTTTTAGTTAGTGTAAGTGTATGTGTTTGAGTTTAATGCTGTCATTACAACTGAGATCCTCGTTTTTGTGCCATTTATATCATCTAAATGCTGCAAATTACAGATTAAAAGGAGATTCTCCAACTCTTCAATAAATGGAAACAAGAAAGGACGGTGACTGAAAGAGAGAGAACTAGAAGGAAAGACAGATTGAATTTAGTCTAACCTTGTTGGTACGTGGGTTGAGCATGAGCGGTTTCCCCTTTTCTTTAGTGTGAACCCATCGGCACACTCTCACACACGGCCTCACACTCATGCTTAATCTGGACAGCATGGCTGCACTGATACCGACACACACCTGCAAAAAAAATTAAAATTAAATAATAATAATACAAGCCATTACACTTAATGCACTCAGACACAAAAACAGATCACTTAGATCAGTAGTGTCTGATAGAAGAGCTCTTATCGGCTGATTAGATTTAATTAGAATTATTATGGCTGATCTGTCAGCAGCACTAGATTCTCACACCACAATCCTGACTGAGAACATTATGAGTCACTGCTGTGCTGCTGATAAACATTCATGCCAGAGACCTTATAAAGGATATCAGCACACAGATGGCACTGAAGAACATCTCTGTAGCCTTTATAAATGCTGTGGCCTTTATAAAGTAAATAAATACATAAAAAAATAAAATTAAAATAATTTAAAATAAAAAAAACGTACTAAAAAAAATTTAAATAAAATAAATAAATGACAAATGTAAAAAAACACTACAAAAAGGATACAAATGTTTTATTGATCAGATAACCATGAACAGGTGAATTATTATCAATTATTGAAATATTATCATTACATATTAGGGGGTACTTCAATAAAATATTATAGGTCATAGGGGTTCGGCTGACAAAAAAGCTTGGGATTCCCTGCAATATTTCATCCATGAATGTAAATTATTATTTTCTTCCCTCATGGTCAAGCATTTGATGATTTGATCATTTGTAATTTAAACACATTTTAATTGTTGGTACCAACACTAAAGCTAAAGGACCTATTTAAAAGCAATGCACAACAGAAAACCAAATGTTGACGTTTGCAAGGCATAAAAAAACATGCACGTGATCACTGAACACAAGACAATGACTGGCCCAATAAAGCAAGTGATAGTTCTCAGTAAAACAAAATTAGCATTTTTGTATGAGCTATTCCTTTAGTTTAGGGATAAATTACATTACTTGTCTCAACACCATAGAAACAATCAGCTCCCTTCCCCCATGCGCTGACCTTACAGTGCGAGAGACACTCGCCGTCCCACTGTGCACATACAGTGCTCTTACACTCACAATCTGTCACACACAAGGAATCAGGGCAATGAATGAGATTAAGCCAGAATCCACTGCCAAAATCAGGTTTTCACAAACTGGGGCTTGTGAGTTGATGAAAATAATTAAATAATAAAAACGCAACATTCACATAAATACATAATTAAAATAAATTACATTTTAAATTAAAATTTTAAATAAAAACAATCAAAATTTGTACTAAAATATTTTATATAACATTTTCAAAATATAAATAAATATTGAAAATATCAAAAATTGGTTTACCTGTATCTCATGTGACCATTAACTAGCATTAGAGAACTGAACATGCAAATGTGTTGTTAAGTTATTAAAATATTAAGTAAATATTTTATTTCTAAGGGCTTTTGCTGACAAACACATTTGGGAATCCCTGACGCAAATGATGCAAAGACTAATTTCTCAGCATTCGCCTGGAAGGAAAATAAATAAATAAAATAAATAAAAACAATATGAGGTTGAAGAAAAAAAACAATATGAGGGTGAGTAAATAATTACAAAATGTTCATTTTTGGGTGAATTCAATGTCAAACTAGTTTACCCACATAATACTGGTCTTTTTACAATGACAAAGGGATCACTCAAATAATGCAAACAAAAGATGAATGGAAATTATAAAGCATTAAACAATCAACATATTAAATTACCCTATGTCTCATATATCCATTTAAATAGAACGCGGTAGGGATGCTCCGATCAGGATTTTTGCAGCCGATACGGAGTACCGATTTCTTGTCATGGTGATCGGCCGATACCGATACAGATTCTGATGCTTCAAGCTTTATATAGACAGTTTCAATGGGCGCACGTGCTTGGCCCGAAGTTAACTTCCGGTCTGTGTTTGTTTATCAGTCTGGCTATGGCGCCGGCTACAAACGCAGTTAAAGTTAAGGTGATGAGTAGACTGAAGTTGGGCTCAGGTGGTTGTGCTGTGGGATGTGTTTCCCATACATTTATTTATTTGTGGCGCTTGCCACAATATCAAAACTGACGGATTTTCCAAAAGGCTTTGTTGAATAAACATGAGCACGTACTGCACGTTTAAAAATCAAAAGGCGCGGGTTTTTTTATATCACTGTATTTCTGAAGGAAGACTATCTTTAGAAAATTTTCGATGTCATTTTCATTTCATCTTGCATGTTATATACCTGATAAAGCAGCGTTTGTGAGCTCAGTGCTGCTTGGTGTACAGCTGTTACTGGGGAAACCTCTGTTTTTGTTCCGTCCTCCACGCTGTGACAACTCACAAAAGACTATTTTTAACTTCAGAAACGTGCCGCGGCTGGCTGATAAACAAGCACTCACTAGAGCGGCTGCGATCAGCTCCGGTGGCCGTGGAGCCGTAACGCGTGCAGTGAGGCGCAGATCAGCTCTAACGTCACTGAATCTGCTGTTAAAAATGAACCATCTATTCATCATATCATCATGCAAAACATACACGACAAACAGCGAATTTTTCATTGTTTCTTGAAATGTCATAACATTTCCACACCGGCGATCACATGACTGCGGCGCCAAATCATTTATGTCCCCACGCATCATGTACGTCATCAAGCGTTGATGTCATCAAATTGCGATCGGTTCCTGAGATCGGCCAAGTTGGTGAGTACCGATCGAGTCATAAAATATGATTATCGGCCGATACCGATCTACGGCCGATCGATCGGAGCATCCCTAGAACGCGGATGTAATATCACTGAAGGTTCAATCACATACTCAACTCTAAAACAACATAATCAGATGTCTCATGACTGCTGGTTGGTATGTCTGCATGTATAAGCAGTTGAACATACTCATATCAGCACTGAAGTCACCTACTTTGCTTTACAAAGAGGAAATGAAACTTGTACATAAAGCATAAAGCCAAACCCTTCCAACAAATAACTCGTCACCAGCCACCCATGATCACTCCTTATCGATTTATTATACTGTGTTCTTCTGGGTCATTAAAAAAAGTCAAAGTACACAATAGAGGTGGTGTGCATGCTGATATCATCGTTATTGTTACTCGGGACTGTTTCATCCAGTGTGATTCACAGCAGACTAAATTCAAGTGCCTCGCTCAAGGGTGCAATGATGACAAGGTAGGGAGTTCTGGGGTCACTCCAAACTGGGACATTTGCATTTAAAGAAATAGTTCACCCAAAACATGGAAGCAGTATATTCCAAGATATTTTGAAGGTATTGAAGAACAGACAATAATCTGCAAGAAGGCAAATACTTACAATGTGATTTATGCATACATTTATGCATTTGGCAGACATTTTTTCCAAAGCAAATTATATTGCATTTAAGGCATTCCCTGCGACTTGAACCTATGACCTTGGCGTTGCTATCGCCATGCCCATATACACCCAATTTACCAAACTAACTACAGCTTATTACAGATTATCCACCATCCGGCTACAAATGTGTCCCAGACACAGAAAACATGCATTCTTTCCGTAAGACAAAGAAAGTTCTTTTAGGGACCAAATGGGAAGTCACACCAGATCTGCCTAATGTGTTCTTGCTCAGTGAAAAACAAGCCAGTGATTTGTTAAAGCGGCACCTCATAGCTGATGAACACATCCTGAGCAAACAAGCCCCGTCTCGGCCATAATTTGTGTGATTTATGGAACTACATACAATTAATTGAATGTAAGTGTCTTGATAAAAGGGCATGATGATGAAGATAGGTCATGCATTTAACCTAAAGCCTTTCAGACGCCAGCCCAGATCTCAAACCACTATATGATGCTATCCTAAGAAGTTAATTTGTGAAAGCAGATTTTGTAGAAATTAGAATAGTTCATCGATTACTCAATCCAGGCTTTGAACCTACAACTAGGGGTGTGCGATATTGACAAAAAATTATATCTCGATATTTTATGGGATTTTATCGATAACGATAATTAGACGATATTTTGCTGAGTGTGTTATTGTGCTGGTACCTTAAGGACTGCCGAAGACAGCTGACTCCTAATGTTTTTAATATTCTTCATATTCTGTGTGGTGGTCAGTTCATACTGATAGAAATTAATCTTTTCCAATAAGTTTAAACTGATTTTTGCATTTTATGGGCATTTTTACCTTTATAAAGCCATTTTTTCTAAAAGTGTCCATTATCTTTTGAGTCAAATTCTTACATTTAATCAGGGAATTAGAATAATAAGACATTTGGGCTGTTACCAAGCAAATTAAATCAACACAGAAGCTGCATCTGAAGTGGCATTTAGATGTATTTACACACATGTATCTTCTTTAATGCAAGACATGAATGCATTTAACCTGCAATTACAAATGCATAAATAATGTTTTGATATATTAAACATAAAACGTTGAATACTGATATTTGAAATGATTTAAAACATGACAATTTTTTTTTTTTAAAGTAAAGAAAGAAAAAGCCAAAATTTGAAATGAAAACTGCCAGTAGGTGGCAGCAAATGACTGTTAATAAGTGAGTCATTGCGATTGAACCGAATCATTTAAACGGTTGATTCATTCAAGAACGAAACACCGTCATGTTGCTCAGAGACACAAAACAGCGCTGTGGCTGTATTCGGAATGATTTTTGTTGGCGAAATAGAGCAAAAACAAGCAATATGGTGTCTAAAACGTAAGTCTCTTAATTAACTTATTGTTTATTGAATTCAATGTCACATTTGTAATCATGGTAATTTTTGGAGAAAAACGGCACTCTCCGTGTGAAACTGAATAACTATATGAAGTGGTATAAATATATAAATTTTCTGCCATCATGTCTTGAATTTGTGATCATTCTAAATGCATTTTAATAGACTGAATCATGCAGTGAAAGAAAACACACTAAATGCGCACACGCACTAGTCTAGACTTCACGTAACGTATGCGTGCGCTCTGTAGGGATGTTTTGAATGGTTTTTGCAAAATACTCGATAATGTCAAATCACACATCGTTAAAACAACAATTACGATATTATCGCAGACGATATATATCGCACACCCCTACCTACAACCTTCAGTTATTAGCCCATATTGCGATGGAATACGAATCTACAAGCTTTCAGTCTAGATCTTTAAGTACAACATCATAGAACACAAAAAAGTTAATTTGTAAATATAAATTGAGAGCACAAAGCTGGTAGCATACGAATAAATAGAGTTTGAAGTTTGATCCTACATCCTTTCAGCTACCAGGCTACTAGATATTTAACCACAAAGCCACTGCACCCATTAAAGTGATTTTATTAAAATAGATTAAACACACAGTGCTAATCGTTAATGGATCACATCTTCAGGATATTTAGGCAAGAAACCACAGGTGATTAGTGTAAAAAAAAATTAATACTAACAGATATCACCATACTTCACTAGTTAATTAATTACAGTAAATTACGACAATTGTTTTGTATTATGTTTAAATATGCAAATGAGTCGTTACTAATTAAATATACACTAATTTGCATACATTTCCAGAGCAGAAATCAGGTTTTTGGTTCAAAATGTAGTTTCATTTTGTTGATATTTTACATTTGAGTCATGCTTAATCATTCACTCCATAAAAGAGAAAATACCATCAACAGTAGTTTCAAATTTAAGAAAAAGCTACATATCAGATGAATGATATCTGAACAAACCCTTCAGTAAAAACATTCAGAATATAGATAGGAGTAAAACCGTAAGGTTTGGTGTATGTAAGTGATACTGAAGTGGAGGAAAAAAATCTTTTTGAGAAAATAGCCTATAAAGAAATGTACTGTAATTGATACAGATGCAGATGGATGAAATGTGATTAAATGTGAATTTGGGGTGTTTTCTTTTCACTAGTATGAAAGAAGACACGTTATGGAAGCAGAATAGCCCAAAATCTCAAAATTGACCAATGCCTGAAAAAACAAACAAACAATGCTTTTGCATGTAGGGTCCTGTCGTTAGATCTTTAAAGAGGTCATATGATGCTGCTAAAAAGAACATTATTTTGTGTATTTGGTGTAATGAAATGTGTATATGCGGATTAAGGTTCAAAAAACACATTATTTTCCACATACTGTACATTATTGTTTCTCCTCTATGCCCCGCCTTTTTGAAACGCATCGATTTTTAC